AAGGTAATCAAAGTTACCTCTTTATTTACTCGCTGAACCGCACCAGGTACTCCTGGCATTCGGCATTTCGTGCGTGATGCTCGCGTGCGGCGTGCGTGTGCGATGGGGCGTGTGTGCTGAGCTTGTAGTGCGATAGCTTGCACTCGGCTAAGCTTGCGGTTATCCTCTCCAACCCCTCACTAACTCTCTATGCTGACTTATGGACTATATATATATGGCTGAACATATGGAGAAAATAAAGCCAATTCTCCAAACTCTCACATATTTATATAGTAGCCGAATTGAGGAGGTTAAGAGGTGGGAATTAGAGTACACTTGGCTTAATTTTAAAGTAACTTAGCTTAGTCACCATTAACCATGCTTAGTCACATTTTAATTTAATCAAATGATGACACCGCCTACTTGCTTAAATAAGAAAGAAAATGGGAACAAGTCCACTAATTTCCCACTTCATTTCTTACGGCCTTAGAGAAGATTTGGTACGGCTTTATGGACTTTAATTCGTGATTAATATTTAATTAATCACTTAATTATGCTTAATTAACTTTTAAGCATAATACTTAATTACTAAAATTATTCCGAACGTAAACGGAATGCCGAAAATAATTTCCGGTAATCTTGACTGAAATGACTTAAAATAATTAATTCCAGAAATTAATACTCGACATATTAATATATCGGAACTAAAACATGATTTAAATTAATAAACTGAGGGGATATTACAATCCTCCCTCCTTAAAAATTCTGTCCTCGGAAATTCGAAACGAACTTATTATACATAAACTATGTACATAGAACAAGAAAATATGTACATCAAAACTGAAAATCTGGAAAACGAGCGCAAATATCGGACTCCGCCTCCCAAGTAGCTCCGTGGCGATCCCACTAAATACGCATGAGGGGAACATCTCGCTTCTGGAGTCGGCGAACCTGACGGTCCAATACAGCTACCGGTCGCTCCTCGTACGAAAGATCTGGCTGAACCTGAATATCTGAATGAGGAATGACATGATCGGGGTCGCACACGTACTTACGCAACATAGATGCGGGGAAAACATTATGAATGCCTGATAACTCGGGAGGTAGGGCTAATCGATAAGCGACCTCGCCTATTCGCTCGAGAACCTCGAACGGACCGATGAATCGAGGGTCCAGCTTTCCTCTCTTTCCAAATCGAACGACTCCGCGAATCGGACGAACTCTGAGAAAAGCTGGCTCGCCAACCTCGAACTGAATATCCCGTCGATGATGATCGGCTGAAGATTTCTGTCGACTCTGAGCTGTCTTGAGTCTCTGCCGGATCAACTCGACCTGATCTACTGTCTCCTCGATCAACTTGGGACCGAGTACTCGTCGCTCTCCGACGTCATCCCAATAAAGAAGGGAACGACACTTGTGACCGTAAAGTGACTCGTAAGGAGCCATCTGGATGGAAGAATGATAGCTGTTGTTGTACGCGAACTCGGCATACGGTAACAACGACTCCCACTTAGCACCCCTGTCAACAACCAAAGCGCGAAGCATATCCTCAAGCGTCTGAATGGTCCGCTCTGACTGACCGTCTGTCTCTGGATGGTAGGCTGAACTGAACTCTAACTTCGTGCCCATCGCCTCGTGTAAACTGTGCCAGAATTGACTAACGAATCTGGGATCTCTATCTGATACGATAGTAACGGGCACTCCGTGGAGTCGGATAATCCCACGGGTATAAATCTCAGCCAACTTGTCCAAAGACATCTTCATCGAAACGGGTAAGAAATGAGCGACCTTAGTCAATCTGTCGACCACGACCCAGATAGCGTCGTGATGTTCAGACGACCTCGGTAATCCTGTAACGAAATCCATCGTGACTTCCTCCCACTTCCACCTCGGAATCGGCAGTGGTTGCAGGAGGCCGATCGGACTCTGATGTTCGGCTTTGACTTGCTGACAGGTAAGACATCTCCTGACGAACTCGGCGACGTCTTTCTTCATTCCTCGCCACCAGAACGACCCTTTCAGGTCATGATACATCTTCGTGCTCCCGGGATGGGCTAGATAAGGTGCGGTATGAGCCTCTGATAATATCTCCTTCCGCAACGCCTCGACTTTCGGGACCACGATCCTGCCTCTGAACTCTAAGGCACCATCGGCACCTAGCTAAAAACCCTCGACACCTCCGGCGCGGACTTTGGCCTCCATGACTCGAACGAACTCGTCAGAAGCTTGTTCCCGCCGGATTCTCTCCCTCAGCATCGGTTGAAGTTGCATGGCACTGACACTAGCACTGACACTCCCTGAAATGGTTGTGGGAAGTGCATCGATCGCCTGAAGCTGCATCCGGGAAAACTCCTGAATTAATGGACTCTGCTGAGTAATGACGTACGTCAAGTCACCCCTCACCTTTCGGCTTAGGGCGTCAGCCACGACGTTCGCCTTCCCCGGATGATACTGAATCGAGCAATTGTAATCCTTGACGAGCTCGAGCCAACGGCGCTGTCTCATGTTGAGCTCCTTCTGAGTAAGAATATACTGCAAGCTCTTATGATCTGTGAAAATCTCGCAACGTCCGCCGTACAGATAATGTCGCCAAATCTTGAGGGCATGGACAACAACGGCTAACTCCAAGTCGTGCGTCGGATAGTTCTGTTCGTGCGGCTTAAGCTGACGTGAAGCATACGCAACGACCTGGCCATCCTGCATAAGGACGCATCCCAAGCCCTGTCTCGAAGCATCGCTGAAAATGGTAAAACTCCAAGAAGGATCGGGAATAGTCAACACCGGTGCTGAAGTTAATCTCCTCTTGAGCTCCTGAAAGCTTGACTCACATCGGTCAGTCCACTCGAACCTCACAGACTTCCTCGTCAGCTGGGATAGTGGGAGGGCGATCTTGGAAAAGCCCTAAATAAACCTGTGATAGTAGCCAGCTAGACCGAGAAAACTGCGAACCTCGGACGGACTCCTCGGTGTCGACCAGTTCTGAACAGCTGAGACCTTGGATGGATCCACCTCGATACCTGCCTGAGTAATCACATGACCCAGAAAGGCTACTCGCTGGAGCCAGAACTCGCATTTGGAGAATTTTGCAAACAACTTTTCTCGTCTGAGGGTTTCGAGAACCACCCTCAGATGCTCCTCGTGCTCCTTCTGGCTCTTTGAGTAGATAAGAATATCGTTAATAAAGACAATAACAAACTGATCGAGGTAGGGATGGAAAATACGGTTCATCAGGTCCATGAAAACTGTTGGGGCATTGCTAAGACCGAATGGCTTGACGATGAACTCGTAATGGCCGTAACGAGTCCTGAAAGCGGTCTTAGCGATATCTGACTCCTTAATCTTCAGCTGGTGGTAGCCTGATCGTAAATCAATCTTTGAGAACACACAGGCTCCCCTCAGCTGATCAAATAAGTCGTCGATCCTGGAAAGCGGATACTTGTTCTTGATCGTCAACCGGTTAAGATCCCGGTAGTCGATACACATGCGCATGGATCCGTCCTTCTTCTTAACAAAGAGAACGGGTGCTCCCCAAGGTGACACGCTCGATCGGATGAAACTGAGTCGTAATAACTCCTGAATCTGCGCCTTGAGCTCCTGCAACTCCTTCGGCGCCATACGGTATGGGGCTTTGGATACTGGACCGGCTCCTGGAATGAGATCGATAGAGAACTCCACCTGCCGGTTAGGCGGTGCTCCTGGAAGCTCGTTTGGGAACACGTCCACAAACTCACGAACAACTGGAACATCATGAGGTGATCGTGCTTTCTGAGAATCATCGACAAGGCTCACCAGATAACCCTGGCAGTTGCCTCGTCGCAGCAACTTAGTGGCTTTCGCCATCGAAACAACATGAGGTAAGGAACGATTCTTGCTGCCAAAGAAAGTAATTGACTCGTCTCCCGGAAGATAAAGAGTAATCTCCCGATCATGGCATCTGATATCTGCATGATAAAAGGATAGCCAATCCATTCCGAGAATAAGGTCAAAGTCCCTCATCTCGAGAACAAACGCGTCGGTAGACAATACTCGACCACCGATGGAAAGGCTAAGATCTGAAGCTTTAGCTGAAGTCACTATCTTTCGTCCCGAGGCTAAACTCACCTCGAGAGGATCGACAGCAGTAATGGCATGAACTCCGATGGCGTCAAGACATCGTCGTGAAATGAAGGAATGTGTCGCTCCAGTATCGAATAAAGCAAACACAGGAACATTATTAAGAACAACCATCCCTGACATAGTACCTGGCTGCTGCTCGGCCTCTGCCTGATCAACTGCATAGACTCGGGCCTGCTGTCTGCCCCTCTGCTGCTGCTGCTGAGGCGGCCTCTGTGCCTGCTGATGGGGCTGCTGCTTCTGCAGTGGCTGCTGAGGCTGCTGGAGCTGCTGTGCCTTCTTCGGACAACGGTTCACGAAGTGTCCGGGCTCGTGACAGTAGTAGCATACATCCTGGCCAAAGCGACACTCGCCTCGGTGAAGTCGTCCGCATGTCGGGCACTGTGGAATCTGCTGTAGTCTCCGTCGGGTCCTCTTGTCCATCGGGGCACCTTTCCCCTTCCTCTTGTTGTTCTTCGGTGGTTGGGCAGCTGGTAGGGCTGGCATCGGTGGAACTGTAGATGACTGAGCAGGGGCGGATGGCTGAGGACGATCACGGACGGCCTCCCTCGTGATGCTGGCGTCTACCTCCTGGGCAATCGAAATAGCACGAGCATACGTCTGGGTCCTGTGACCTACAATGTTATGACGGAATGCTGGGTAAAGTCCGTCAATGAAGCGCTGTGCTCTCTGGGCCTCCGTGCGAACCAAGTCAGGAACAAAAGCTGCAAGTCTAGTAAACTCCCTCTCATACTCGTCAACAGTACGAGTACCCTGCTGGAGCGATAAAAACTGACGCTCCATCTCTGCTCTGTATTAGGTGGGGTAGTACTTCTCGCGGATCAGCTCCTTGAGCATCTCCCATGTACATCCCGCCATCTCGCCGGGACGCATGCTCCAGTAGGCATTCCACCAGAGTCGAGCATCACTGGTGAGCTGAAGCTGAGCGCAGATTACACGATATCTATCAGGACAATCCATGACCTCGAAGATAAACTCAAGGCCTTGAATCCACTCGTCCACGATACGGGGATCTCCCTGCCCGGAGAATTTCTCGGCATGATAGTCGCGGAACTGTGCGACTACTGTGGCCTGAGTAGGAGCCGGGTGATCGGGTTCCCTACGGGGCGACATCTGAACATTGAGAAAGTTCAACATTATTTAACACGTGATAATATTCTGACTGATTACTAAGGCACACAAATCTCTTAACGAGTTGCCAAAAGTGGCTGATAAATACTGACATGAATCCTGAGGAACTCTAGAGTCATATCGGAAGATACTAAATTCTAGAGTCATATCTGAGTATGCTGAACTCTAAAGTCATATCTGAATTCTAAAGTCTGAATCTGATTCGAGCATCTTAACTACGTTTTGATAAATAATTCTGAGCATAGACAAAGTAATATGTTTATAACTGAAAACTAAATCAGCACTTACCTGTAGTCAGCGAGGCGTGAGCGTGACGGTTCAGGTTTTTCTGAAAATTACTGACTGAAAAACTTTTCAGAGACGCAGAAACGTGCTCTGATACCAATTGTAACACCCCGACTTTTTAGTGAAATCAGAGTACGCGTTTTTCGCAGATTTATGAATAAATAAATAAAATATTTATTTTGCGAAAACTTGATTCGGAGTGCTACCGTGAAAAACTTGACTTTTCTGAAAACCGTTAAATTTTAAACTGAATAATAAAACGGTTATAATATATTCACCAACTAACATCGGATCAAAAGCTGTTTAAAAGTACTGAAAGTTTTAGCGGAATAACAACGTGGCAAAACATATATACATATATCACAAATATCCTAAACAGCCCGCCAGCTCACTCCTCGTCCCCGACCCTGCGACCTGAAAAACATGAAATACGTGGGGGCGTGAGCACTAAAACACTTGTGCTCCGCAGAAACTCATACTAATGTAAACATTGAAAATAATAACAATATCATGATCCTGGCATATATAACTGAACTGAAACTGAAACTGAAACTGATATCTGATACCGGTCTGACCTCGCGACATAAGTCACGTAACTGATAACTGAACATCTGTAGGCACAAACTAATACCAGAATCTGCCAGCACAAACTAATACCGGACACCATGTGCACACTCTAGTGGGCAGATTAGTCCACTAGAATCCAGAATGGACCGGCGACCATTCCGAGCGGATACTGATAATACATACCTCAAACATGGTAGCGTAATTATAATCAATGTAGTACTTAGTCTGAATCCCCACCTGATCCGTGAAACTGAAGGTAGTGCTGATGCCTGATCAAACTGAAATATAATATAAACAATTACTGCTGACTATGCTCAGACTGATAAATTAACTGATTAATTATGTTAAGATGCTCTACTGAACCTGACATGATATTCGGACTTAATCGGTATAACTGAAACCGGTTAAGTATGAAACTGAACTGATATAAATTAACTGAACTGAACTGAACCCGGAATTTTAACTGAAAATGACACTGAAATCATGAACCGGGACTGAAACTGAAAAATACTGACTGAACCGGTCCAGCCGATCTGAACCGGTCTGGACCGGACTGCCGGTCGGCTGAACCGGGCAGTCGGGTGCTGGCTCGGCCAGCGGCCTGCCAAGTGCTGCGCACACGGGCGCTGCCTGGCCTGGCCAC